GTTTGGCTAAAGGTTATTCACGACATCCTTTTTAGACACATTAAACTGCACTGCTTCATATGAGAGGGTCCGTTCAGTACTTCAACCTACACCAGCGCTAAAAAAAAAGAAAAAAAAAAGAAGTCGTCATTATTATGACACGTTAAGTCAATATTATAAGAAAATTTCTCAATATTTTGACTCAAGTGTGGCAGACACGAGCTTCCATTAATCAACACGGAGATATTTTTCAAAATAGAAAGTCATACAAGTTTGGAACAACTTATTACATTTGATAATACATTGTCAAACCAAGTGACATTAATAAAAGACAAACGCAATAAATGAATCAAAATGAAGACAACATTTGTGGTACATGTCGTCAAAAGTCAGTTCAACATGTTAATAGTGAATGTGATGAACTGACATACAGTACATCGTATGCAAATTTCTGCCACAGCAGCTGGTTAAAAGCCACTAAAAAAAACAACTAGCTTTGCCATATCACGTACCACACTTCTATCATGAAAAAATGGCCATTTTAAATGAGTGTTTCTTACAATCCATGTAACCTCTTTATCCATTTAAGGGCCACTGCACTTACTTTTAAAGCTTGACCCTTGACTCAGCGCTTTAAATGGCACTCATACCAAAATTATTAAAATTGCACAGAATGTGCACATCTTAATGACAATATTGTCCACATTTTTGGTTCAGTGGAAAGAAAAAACAAAGAAAAACAGTTTTAGACTCTAAAGACAACATTATGTGGGCAAAACAGACACTATGCAACCAAACTAACCTTTACACATTTGAGATTTTATTTCATTAATTTTATTCTTATATATTACAGTGACAAGAGATGGTCAGTTATCACAAACTTTGTCCATTCACATATTTATGCATTTAATGTTTGTATGGTAATAGCTTAGAAAAAAAATAAAAAGAACAGACACCCCCAACCTACCCTAAACTTCCATTTCTCAGAAAAGAACAAGGATCAAAGTGAGGATATTCAGTGCACAGTGCTCAACCCAACCAGATAAATAAATTATTCGGAATATGAACAGACAAACGTCACATGTATGCGTCTATTATACATGCTTATTTGTGAGTGCACGTCACAGTTTGGTAGAGTTGCCCTTGACTTAAGAGGAAGACACACTTGGAACTTGTGTGCACATATTTTTCTATCAAGAAGAGAAATTTAAAAAAAGTCAAACAAAATTCATGTGTTAAACTCACTTTGACAAAGATTTTAAGACAAACAAGAAGACTAAACATTGAATGACTGGGACCCAAATGACAATTTTAGACATCCAAGTACACGTTGACAATAAGAATCAGAATCAACTTTCCATGTGGGTTTTCAAGTTTTTCCCAGGACATCCCTCTAACTGAGTGCTTGTTATGGTAAATGAAACTAAACATGACACAAGTGTGAAAGGTAAATAGTATTGTAATGCATTTAAAAAACAGGTAGACAGAAAGGTGACACCCCACCCCAAAGGCATATTCCCCAACACTGCAACCCAAAAAAATCCCATAAAGAAAAGGAAAGAAAAAAAAGAAATCAACCACTTTATCCATGTCCTTCAGTCAATAATGGCATTGCACACACAATACTGGTGGTGTGGTTTTGCACAGCTATTGGCTTTATACTTGATGAAGGTATGACAGGTGAGTGACTATGTGCTAGGTTATGTGCACAAGAAGTCCAACTGGGAGAAAAGGAGGAGGAAGGGTAGTACAGTGAAGAGGTCCGTATTTCATCTCATCATCAGTTGTACAGCAGTTTTGTCCCTCGGCGGCTAATACTTCATGACAGAAGGGCGGATGGAACAAGCGAGTGCATGACTGTCAATACTCATATGCAGTCCACAGAGAAAGAGTTATGACGGCATGGTGTTTTTCTTCATTAAACACACATCCATAGCAGCAGGTGGAGCCTTTAAGACCTCTCTCTGAACAACAAAAAACTTCCCCACACCACCTGTGACCATCGTTCTTCAAACTGGGATTGAGGGGGATCATCGCTCGGGCTCAGACTCCAGTGCCAGAACCCGTTTACGCTCACGGCACTGCTTCTTATGGACTGGCCAATCTCTCTGTTGGCACTGTGAGCCACAGTAGCGTGCCACTTGGCATCGGCCGCAGATGTTGAACTCCCTCAGCTGCAAAGGTACAAAGACAGAGACACTAAAAGAATTGTCACAACTCAAAATAAATGAGATAAACACAATAAACAAGTGACAACTGTTTAGAAAACATACGGTCAATATTAGCTAATTAAGAGTGTTATTACACGGGTGTATTAACGTTGTTGCATTTTAATGTTTTGTTAGTCTAGCGCACGAGATGCGCCGCTGCTGTGTTATGCATTCAAAATATTAGAGAAATATAGAAGCTCAATGCAGAGAAGATCTTGATTAGGTGAAAACCGAAACCAAGCCATTCACACAGTTGCATATTCAGCGCATTTTTAGATGGACAAATATGACTGCTATACTCGTGTCTCACACAAGAGATGTAGCCATGCCATGCAAAGTTAAAACAGTTTAAACTTTTAGAAAACACGTCGCAAATTTGTGGAGGTTTATTCCTTTTCACTGCATCTCTTATGTTTTTAAATGCAATCTGCGTGATGGGCGATTCGGCTCTTTGTATTAAGCAATGCATAAATACATGATGCTGTTTTGTTCATAATTGTTTATGCAATTTACGAAATTATATTTGATTTACCGACCAAATATAAAGCCGACCTCATATGTCATTCCCCCGGAACTGCTTCTGTTTACAACAGTGAGCGCAAGCTAGATTCAAGTGATTATTACGTTTTGAATATGGATATTTTTCTTACAAAAACGCATCGATTCGCTACAGAAGGCCTTTGTTCACCCCCCGGAGCCGTGTGAGACACTTTTTTTTTTATGGATGGGCGATTTTTATTTAAGTTCTTTTGGACTGAAGCAATGCAACACCCGCTGAGTGGCATTAAACAGCTTGAAAGATCAAAGACAATTTTTAATATAACTCCAAATGGATTCGTCTGAAAGAAGAAAGTCATATACACCTAGGATGCCTCGGGGGTGAGTAAAACGCAGCCTAATTTTCATTTTTGGGTGAACTTAATGCACATTTTTCTTTTTATAGACAGTTATTTCCTTTGCTTTGGCAATTTAATGTGCTGCATTATTTTGCTCATTGCGTCCTCCTGTGGCTTTGGGAGACAAGCCAAAAGTTTCCTTCAGACCTATTTAATCTACATATAAAACATTAGAAATTAAATTGATTTTGTGTTTGACTGTTAAAACAAAAAATATTTGTTTGTCTCAATAAATTGGGTTAATTAAAAAATACAGTGGTTAAATAAAAAAAAAAATTATATTGCTCTGTTTTAAAAAAGGTTATAAAAAATGTCAATAATTATCGATACCGAACGATATGAAACATTATATCGTTGATACATTTTTTAGCTATATTGCCCAGCCCTAACACCAAGAGCATTGCGTTTTTAATAAAAAGTCTTATGTGAGGGTTTTGTGGCTGTGTTCTGTTCCATTCTTTCTCACCCCATCCAGCATTTTTAAACGCAATGTGTCCTCTGTGAACATATGTGACCCTGGACCACAAAACCAGTCTTTAGTCGCAAGGGTATATTTGTAGCAATAGCCAACAATACATTGTATGGGTCAAAATTATAAATTTTTCTTTTATGCCAAAAATCATTAGGATATTAAGTAAAGATCATGTTCCATGAAGATATTTTGTTAATTTCCTACTGTAAATATATGAAAACTTAATATTTGATTAGTAATATGCATTGCTAAGAACTTCATTTGGACAACTTTAAAGGCAAATTTCTCAAGATTTAGATTTTTTTGCACCCTCAGATTCCAGATATTCAAATAGTTGTATCTCGGCCAAATATTGTCCTATCCTAACAAACCATACATCAATGGAAAGCTTATTCATTCAGTTTTCAGATGATGTATAAATCTCAATATCAAAAAAATGACCCTTATTGCTGGTTTTGTGGTCCAGGGTCACATACAAGAAAAGCACCTGCATGTTGATCATAGTCATCACCAGTCTCAGTTATAAAGGACTACAGTTATAAAACGCACTGGCTATAAAAATATAAAATAAAAATTACCAGTGGGGTTGGGTATCGAAAACTGGTTCTATTTTAGAACCAGTTCGATAAGACGCGTGCATTTTGATTCTGCTTAACGATTCCTGTGTTCACATTTTAATGTGATTTAAAACGATTTAAGTGCAGGAACGGAAAGTACTTGCGCCCTGTTTGCGTGCAGCGCACACGTCAGAAGTGCAAGCGCAAGCACAGAGAACAGAGGTCAGCTGTGTCCATTCTTGAACCGTTCCGTGCATTTCCACTGCAGAAAAGGTTGTTCCAGGCCGGAACTGACTTCTTTCATATTTATCGACCAGTATGCAGAAAAATACGTCAGTATATCATAAACACAGCCGTTTTTTTCGTCTTAAGTGAACAAACAGATGAGAAAGAAAACGCACGTGTACAGTATTTTTAGATCTGCGTGCGTACAGTGTTAAAGAGACAGCAGTCTAATAAACTGCCTGTCATTAATGTTAATCAAAGAACAAAAAATCATTCGCTGATCTTGATTGAATATATCTTTAATAACTTCAATTAATCTGTATTTTATTTATGAAAAGAAAACTATGCAGTGTCTTTAAACTTTTAATTACAGTTTGTGAATCTGAAATTTGGTTCAGTTGTATTTATTTATGCTATTGTTAATTGATTTGTTTGTTCCTATTTTATTACTGACTGTTTACTTGTCTTTAACACTTTAATATTTGAAATTTATATTAGTCTAGTTGTTTTTGCGGTGGTATTTTTGTTAAAAGCATAGGCAAAAGTTCCTCTTGTTGGCCTAAATGTTCTGTAGGCTGTTGATGTTTGCTCATGTTATTCAGCTGCAACAGAATGCTTTGTAAAAAGACACAGAATAAATGTTTGACTTTTTTTTTTGTATATATTGGATTTTTTATCTTATTGGAATCGAAACTAGGAATCAATAAGCAGAATCTGAATCGATAAAATTAAAACGATACCCAACCCAATGACCAGTATTTAAAAAAAAACAAAAAAAACAACAAAAGACGACATAGAATGACTTCTCTACACCATACTGACCCTCCTCTCAATGAGCGAGCAAGGTGGGTAGTGACACTCGTAGTAGGTGCAGGAGCACTCCTCCTCTTCCACCAGCTCTCCGTTGGCATTGTAGTAGCGTGTGCGACTCAACTCCAGGTACTGCTCTTCCACTGGGTCAGCTGGAACCTGCTGGATGGCCAGCCAATACAACGACTGCTCTCTAGAGAGGACATTACACAGGCATAATTTAGATAGCATATCACAGCACAAGTTGAGCACAGTGGATTAGTTTTTTTTTGTTTGTTTGTTTCGTTATAAGCTGTACATCATAAAATCTTAAAGGGGTCATATGATGCGATTTCAATTTTTCCTTTCTCTTTCCGCTTCGTCATGCCTAGAGCTGATCTGTGCTGGTCGCTGAGGAAATACATCAATTTTCACTGTGGACGAAGTGGAGTCCAGCCCGCCTCAGCTCACTCTACATAAACATTTCATTACACCAAATACACAAAATAATGTTCTTTTTAGCAGCATCATATGACCCCTTTAATGTATTGATTTTTTATTACCTTTGTTTGCTGGACAGTTCTTCTGGTTTGGGACTCCATCCCACAGGAACGAGACGCAAGTTGTCTAGACGGTTGTCCACTGTGACTGAGTTTATGTGAACTACTTGGAAACTTGGAGCAATTCCACCTCTGTGCTTTTCCCTGTAAACAAATACACTAAAATGTGACTACTTAAAACATAGATGTCTACTTATTTACAGCCTCTTCAGGATTTACACATATGCAAAACATATTTTCAAAATCAACTAGTCGATGAGTTCCCTGATAAACTGTCAACTAATGGTGGAAGGAGGTGGAAGGTACCTCATAACACTCCATGACACAATTAGTATTAAATATATTATGAAGTCTGAAAAATGTGTCAAAAGATGCATCTTAAAGTGGTGGTTGACTGATTTTTTTTCTAGGCTTGATTGTGTTTATGGGGTGCAGTCTAACATGTGTTAATGCTTCGTTTTTAAAAAAACACATAATTTTTCACATAGTTTACTTTTATTCTCTGTCCCTTCTCCTATAAACGCGCTGATTATTTCCTGCTTTTATGAAGCCCCTCCCACAGAAATACGCAACGAGCTCAGATTGGTTAGCTGTTCCAGTGTGTTGTGATTGGCTAAATCATCTCTAGTGGTCTAAACGTCCCACCCCTCACCTCAGCGACATGTGCTCCGGTTGTATTGTAAACAATGACGTCGTCAATATTGCTTATCAATTTGAGTCCGATTGAGACCCAGAGAATATTAGTGAAGAGGATCGCGCAGAACCTGTGCAAGCACGGCTCTTAATGGTATGTTTTTTGTTTGTTGTTGTCTCATACTTTTAGATATGCCGTTATTTGTAAATGCTACTGCTTCGGTTAGCTTTTAATATAATTTTTTTATTCTGATTAAAGCTTTAATACAGTACGGCAACCGCACACATGTATAACTCTTCTCATAGCTATGTGAAAATAAGTGTATAAATGGAACAGTTCATTGTTGGAGCTGAGCTGATAATCTGAATGAGACAGAGAGAGAGAGAGATGCAGAGCAGGGCGACGCGAGGAACAGGATTGAGAACCGCTGCTTTAGAACATTGATTTAGAAACTTGTGAATCCATTAAAATCGTTAGAAGACAGAATTGCGATTCATATATGAATAGATTTTTACGTGCACCTCTAGTTTTCTCTTCCTCTTCTCTAAAGCAGCGCAGCATGGCCTCGCCCCCTTTGCTGCCTTTTCCCGAGGGCGGGGTTTATCTGGG